GACTGAACCGCGTTAGGATATTAAGTTATGTTAAAGGCGTCTCTCCCTCTCTCTGAGAAAAATGTGTGTAGGTCCTCGCGAACGACCCACACACGATCGCAGGAGATTCCTGCTGGCTCAGGGCGATCGCAACCGAATCTCCGGGCCATTTCGGTATATTTCTCCGTGTAGTTTTCTTTCTCTTCGCATTTCGCGCGTCGCATATATAAAAAATTATTTTTTCCCTCAGTGATAAATAACAAAATATAAGTTGCCGAGATAATTTTACGTACACACGCGATATTTCTGGTGGACGAAGAAACTTCTTTTGCTAAGTTCTCAAAGTGCACTGGCCGGCTGAAAGGGATCGCGAAACGAAGTGTGTGTTTCTGTTTATAATTTCGTGATATCCTAAGCCGCGGCGTAACTAAATAATTACTCGGATCGTCCGGGCCTATATTTCACACGACGCGGCCGCTGTAATCGGGAGGACATGCAAAAAGGCGAGAAATATCAATAATAAAGATACGGGAATAACCGTAAAACGTCAGTTCCACCGGAGACCGGTCGTTGGCTGTAACCAATGAAGACGTAAACCCATGTCCGCGCGTAATTTAGAGTTCTTAAGTCCCAGTAGGTGGTTGGCCACCACCTGGGGCTCGAAACACCTTATTGCGCCTACGGCTACCGCACCCCAGACCGCTCTCGTCTCCCTCTTTCTTCGGGCGATCGAGATCTCAACGAACCGGCGGCACACACCTTTCGATTTTCGCTTAATACCTGCGGCTCTCTGTATTACCTGTTTATATCTTAAAATATTTTCCAAATTCTCCAGTTTGTCTTTGGGTGAAATATTTATATTTCGTACAATCCATAACAATCAACTTCTTTATCGTTTCTTTGTACAATCTTCATCTTATCGTTCAAAAATTAAACTTGGTTTGAACACATTTATCGATGCTTCGGTTCCTTTCATTCTTTGTACCATCTCATTTCTGTATCTGCAAGTTGCGCGTTTAATTCACATATACGTTGGAATGTCGCGACCTTACAAGCTGTCGTGCTCGGAGATCGTACCGCGCATATTAGCCGACACGCGGACATCGTCCAGAAGGAGGGAAAAAAAAAGAGCTCTCGCGGCGATTCTTTCGTGACACGACAGCATTTGCGCTGCAGTGTCAGGACCGATCGCTGCGAGCGGTCAACCGACCGAACCCGTGGCCGACATTCGACCTGACACCGCCGCTGCAAAAAGAAAGAAAACGACGCACGCCGCGCCATTACTTTCAATTTATGTTCCTCGCGATTCTTAAATCGGCAAACTTTCGGGGACCGCCCGCAGGGCTCTCCCCGAGAGCGCCGCTCATATGTACAAGGTGTCTCGAACGTTCTATACGAGTTTTCGGACATCCATCTGCGAATCGAGATATGAATATTTTCAATCACGGATAATCGAACGCGCGTTCGGCTCCTAAAATTAAAGCTTGTTTCTCATAAATTGTTTCGCGCGCATTTCTGACGGAAAGACGCGTAACGAATCCGCTTTCGAGCGGAATCGCGAGCGCGCGCGCGCATTTCATGGAAAAGGAAGATCGAGTTGGAGGCCAAAAAAAAGGCGGAAGAAGAACTGACGGGGGGTTTACCAGCGCGGAGTATCGTGTCTGGCCGCGTACACGCGCGGTATCGCGGTGGGTAAGCCCGATATTCCCCCTCGTAACTCTCTCTTCGGTCCGTATTTTTGCGGATTGGACGCGGGGACGTCACGTCGAGCACCAGGGACCTCGATAAACAGATTTCTGGAGGACGCGCCCGCGCGCGTCGCATACTGCGCTCACGCACGCACGCATGCACGCACGCACGCACGTCGTGTAGACGGGGCGAGATCGCCCCGAATTTTTTGTGGTTAAATTAGAACGCGTGCGATACGGAAGGGAATCATTTCGATCTTTCTATTTTCTTCGCGTTTGTATAACCGTTCGCGTTATACAAAATAGCGCTTCGCGATATTTGTGATGGATTGAACGTATCACCAATATTCTTATTTTTGACCTTCGGAAAACGATGTGTCCTTGTTCCGTCACGTTATTTAATCACTCACGTTTACTCCGAGCTCAGTTGCAACATCGACGAGATGACATATTTCATGTAACCAAGGCGAACGTTACCAGAATGTGATCTCGCACGCAAGATTTACTCGGTCACTGGGCAGGAATTATACTGAAAGTTAACAAGCGATATTGCCGAATTTGGAAGGGTCAGAAGAAGGGTACGAAAATGGGATGTTCCTCTTCAAGGGCGTGATTCTCGACTAGGGCAAACCCCTAAAAAAAATTGGTGCTTTCGACCGTTTCTCGGAGCCGCGTCGACCAGTCTCGAACGAGACCCGGGCGGAATAAGAGAGTTGTCTCTCACAATGCCCGGGTCCCTTCCAACCTGATGGATCGAAGTGAGTTTTGAAAATGTATGCGCACACGGCCAGATTCACAAGGAGGGCTGTAAACCCCGCCTTAGGCCAAGCTCTCGGGAGGGTCTCCCTTACATTCAGCGCTGGATTTCACCCCGCAGACGGCGAGACCACCCTACACCCCGCGTGCCTCGTCTCGCGTCCCTCGTTTACCTCCCTTCCTCCGGTTTCGCTCTCCTTCCTCCCTGGCAACACCGCCATGTGTGTACGAGTTTCATGCCAAGGCAGTGACCCACGAACCAACATATTGGCATTGTTTGAAGAACGAGAATTGCCCGACGTGCCGCTAGGGTTGCTCCCGTGACACACGTACGCCGAACGATCGATCCTGTCGTGATCATAGCAAGCTGCCGCAAAATACCGCGGGACCTTCTCTTCGTTTTTGTCACGTAGACGCGCGTAATGACGCGCGCGCGCGAATACAATCATCCCCCGAGTTTCAAACCGCTGTTGAGAAACCCTCTTAACGAAAGTCACCCGAGAAACTCAAGCGAGAAGTTTGGAGCGTGTATTTGATGGTATAATAAATAATTAAAATTACTCTTTATGCGCGCAAAGTCAGAACTTAAAAAAAAACAAAAACAATGTATATTATGTTCCTGTTCGCGTTTTCTATTTTGCACATCAATGTACATTTTTCTTCTCCTCGGTATTTAAAAAACCCTCAATCAGTTTACGATTATTCAAATCGCGTCTCTTTCTGCAAGAAACCCGACGGGCTTGTAGCGATACGTAGCTTGAATTCTAACCTCGAATTTATCCCGCCCCCGCCGGGATATATACCGCCGGCGTCCCACTCTCCTTCGCGGGATTCTTTGATAATTGAGGTCTAGCCGAGGCGCATACATAAGAAGAAGGGATATTTGTTCTCTCCACTTAAAATCGAACCGCCTTGCATTCCCATATTACGCGGGTTTCGTGCCGCTTTTCGCGTCCCGCATGCCCCGCATCGGAATGCCGTAGCGTGTGCGCGCCGCCCACGCTGCATTTCGCGCACGCATCACGCACACACGCGAGAGCGGCAACGCTCGTGTATACGCGCGTATACGACAAGGGAGCGAGCGAGCGAGCGAGCGAGAATGAGAGAGAAGGCAAGAGAGAGAGAGAGAGAGAATATGTTTCACGCACACGCGCCCGCGGCTCGCACAGATTAAACTCACGCACAGTCCGGCCTCGGGGGCGGCGTGCCAGCCAACTAATGAGAGAGACGAGCGACCGCGATGATAAAGTCTCCGGCTCTCGTCCGTTCCATAACGCCCGAATCGTTTCCGTCGACCGCTACGAAGAGAACGAGGCCCTTGCTCCTTCTTCAGAGGCACACCGCAGAGCGAATTTAACCCCCTTGAGGACCCGGTCTCGCAAGTCGCTAACACTCACGTCGAGACCTCTTCGTGAACAGGAACAAGGAGAAAAGGAACGCGGGCAAAATGATTGTAACTGTCTTACCTAATAAAAAAGGAGTTTACGTTGATTACATTTAACGTGTGAGATATTGAGCCGTATGAATAAAAAAAAAGCATAATCTTTATCCTTCAAGTTTTAGGAGCAAATCCTCAGTTTGCTAAAAATTTTTATTTATTGAACTTTGAGGATTTGCTCCCAAAACTTGAAGAATAAGGTTATGCTTTGTTTTTTATTCATACGGCTCATTTGTACGCATGCTCATCTCTATTACGCTCGTGTGCTTTATCTTTTTTGTAAATTGCAGAGAGTAAATTAGATATATCTTTATGCAACCGAGGAAAATCACGGTCCGACAAAACGCATTGTATCGTATTGTTTATGAGAGTGCTCTCCAGCAGTGTGTGTATGTGTGTATGTATGTAGGTAGAATGCATCGCCAAACCGGCGGCCAAAGAAGCCCCACGGTGTGTTTGCTATTTGCAATAGCAGTTTGCCCATTGGCCGAAGTTTATAGCCGTAACATGTTACTAAAACAAAGAGATATCCACGTTACGAAATTAGAAAACAAGAAAATACTATTTTCGATAGCGAGTATTATAAAAGCGTCTTGCGCGCGCTCCGTGTTGTAATTAGATATATTTATATACGTTTGTGCATTTCTCTGTTTGGCAACACTTATTAAGACTCGAAGTCTTTTGTCGCTAACGCGTGCATGCATTTGAAAGCGAAGCAATAACATATAATTCTCCTTTCTATTCCTAACTCTACATGTTATTTATATTCTGTGTAAATTAAGTGTATGTAGTAATTTTATATATATATTTTATATTATATTTTGTGGTTAGTACATGTATAAAAAGTTCCACAGGTTTTATTTCCATCTCAAGCATTGGTTTTTTCCATAAATATTAACTAAAGACACCTTAACAATATTTAATTAGATATTATTATATAATTATAATTTGCGAGAGAGAAATAAAATCAACATTTCAACATTTCTCTTTGTAAATTGTGAATTTTTTGTTATTCTCTGCGTATGAAAAAACAATTATTGAAATAACATATGATAACTAATTTATCAAAAATAATATTAATATATTAATAGTTTAACTTTCTCAATATAATAACAATTGTCAACAGATTTAAAGATTTGTCAATACTATAATATTTAATACTTGGGCTCACAACAAAAACCTTATCTCTGTAAAATAAAAACAAACCCAAGTCATATTTACGCGCCAGAAGAACAACACACGCCAAGACAAAAATATTAGGAAATCTCGAATCTGGAAAATCTGGGATCGCGTCCGCTCTTTTGCTGCTATCACCAGGCAATTATTGAGCTGCGAAACAAATGTACACAATCGATATCGCGCATAAACATGATAAAACGCACAATGAACAAACTGGCTCTGCTATACCTTTCAGCACCGAAGAGTCCGTTCGAGAACGAGGAAACAAACGAGCAAACATCGCAAATGGCGGCGAAACGCGTGAAATGTCTTCGCACGGGTTGTTGTTTAGCGTAGCAACAGTGCATAGCAACGCGGCCAACTTCACGCAACGACAAAGCCGCGACTCGTCGTTCTATCAAAATAAAAAACTTTTTGGAGCAATCTTTAGGGGTAAACAGTACAGTTGTTGGCCTCCCAACAGTAATTGGCCATGTAGTAAAGAAGTAATAAATATAAAAAAATATTATCATTATATTCTAAATTATAAACATTTTAATATTAATTAAGTTTTTCTGCTCCGAATAAAAGTAATATTATAGTATTTAAGAAGCTCAAAAACTTATTGTTATACAATAACCATTGACCAACTGGCCAATCACTGTTTTTAAGGTTATGAAAACCATATGACAGTCATTGGCCTCTTATTTTGAGTTATAGATACAAATGTAAGTAGGTTTGTTAGTTTTTAATGTGTTATAAATAAAATATTCATTNCTATATNTTCATAAGTCAAAANAAAAACTTTATTATGATAACTGTTATGTAAACAGATACTAACAGAACTCATATGGCCAATAACTGTCTATCTTGACTATAGGAAATATTTTATCAAATTTTGAACAATTTTTCAAATTTTCTAATAAATTTATTAGTTTATTTGCGATTGTTATAGTTTGTTTGAGCTAGTAGTACTGAAGATTTACTTCAAGTTCTTAAATTTAATTTTATAATTTACTCTATATAGCGCAGTTTTCCTTAAGTGCCCAATCACTGTATCTCTTACCTCTACTTTCCTCTCGTCATTCTCCCGTTCTTTCTGAGCTACAAAAACGCGCGCGTGTCTCATTATACGAAGTGCGCAAAAATCACAACAAGCGGCGTGAACGAATCCGCGATCCAGTAGGCCAATCGATATATATCGATGTTCGTTGGTCCGTGCGTTCTGAGATGCGGACCCCGTGCAGTCGGGAGAGTGCTCGCGCGGTGGGTGCACGTCCGGGTCTCCCAATCGCAATTGAAACCGAAGTTTTATCGCCGAATTAAGGACCGACGGTCGTTCTTTTTCGTCCGGACGGATGGAATTCGCGCGCGCGCGCGAGGACGATGGACGATGCATCGGAGTAAAGACGGCGGTGCCGACTTTCGAAACGCTACCCGATCACGCCAAGCTCACGGGCCCACGGGCGATATCCACGGGGAGGGAAGAGAGGCGCAAGGTAAATCACGTACATAGCTCGTGCACGGGCGTAGACCTCTCTCGCGAGTCCGAAATTGTCGGGCAATTGACACGCGGTCATTAGATCGTCGGTATTACGCGCAGTACGCGGGAGCAAAAAAATCTGACAACGGCGGCGTAGCTCCGTGTTTACCTCCTTCCCTCGGCCCCTCCGTTCGCGAGCGCGAACAAACGTCGTGGCAGCGCGACTCGCGCGGCCGCCATTTCTTTTTCAAACGCTACCGTATCACGTACGAGCGCGCGCCGCCGGCGATGACGAGTCACGGGACGTCACGGACGGGGGAGAGGATCGAGTACCTTGCAAGCCAACGCCGTACGTACGTACCACACGTAATGGAATGCGAGAGGCAACGGCGTACTGTTATTAGAATCGCGGTCGTTTCCACGTTCCACTTCGCGGGATAGCGGCTAATTCGAGCGTACATCACCCCGGGTTCTCGGTATCTCGCGCGACGTCGCCAGAAGGGAAGCGTCGGAATGGAATCGAGTTATCGTCCGAGGAAGTAAGTCGTATTTATTATTCCCGCATTAAGAGAGTCGAGTCGGAGCTTCATCGTTGCTCCCTCAACCTGCTGCGTATTTGTATTTGTCGAGATCTGTGAACCTTCTCAAATTTATCATTTCTGAGTGTTTCTGTTAATTTACAAATAGAGTTATCGTATTTTAGAAAAGATAAATCCGTATACTTCGAGAAAAATTTAAATTCAATATCGGGAAAGTCTACGACTTATGAGTTGCACACACACTGTTTTGCTTTTATCAATTAATAATTTAATTTTCTTCAACTTTCACAACCATTCAACAATTCCAGACTATCCGGGCCAATCTCGGACGTCCGAAAACTCTATTTATAAATCACAAAACAGATCTAAAGAGAGTCTGATGCGACAAGAAAAAAGAAAATACTTAAAACAAAACATATCCTATTATTTATTTAGAATTATTTTGATTTTCGTCGTTGATTTTCTTTCTTTAGAAAGAAAAGGGAGAGCAAACAATAAAAAATCGGAATTTATTTCAAGATAGAAACGATTTGAAAAAGTTTTGTCATAGATATTCTAATACACGTTGAGATGCAAGTCGCAATGATCTTGCAAGTGTGTTTTCATTAAACATGCGCGATCGCCTTCTCATGTAAAAATGCGCCACAAATTAGCGTCAGTCTCAAAAACGTTTCGCGCGCGAGAGTCCCGTCTGGACAACTTTGTGTTTCGTGAATCTCGTGTGGGGTCGTCGTGCGGACGTTCGACTTAACGAAAATTGGCGCAACTTCGTGCGGCACGACGCCATTACGTGATCGCGCGCGGACGCGAATTGTTTTTCGCTCGAAAAATGTTTTTTCTATTTTTTGCGCACCTACCATACCGTATCGTTGCAACAAGTGAAAAAACGCACGCGAGAGAGCGAGATAAATCTGAGAAAAAAAAACTCGTCACATCGATATTCCGCCCGACGGAACGGCGGGAGTGGCGAAAAACCCTCTTACCGAGGAGGGACTTCAAAGGGGCGTCGCGTTCGGATTCAAAGTAGCAAGAAATCACATTTCGGAAAGAACTCACAAAGTCCAGACGTTAGGTAAGCCGGCAATTTGCATGTTATTACCGCGAGGCGTTTGTACTGCCGGGCGACGATGGAGAGGGAAAGAGAGAGAGAGAGAGAGAGAGAGGTCGTTTTGCCGCGGTCTTGTTTATTGTAATTACGAAAGTTTGGACTCTCTTCCCGGACTCTCTTCTCTCGTTCTTACCCGGCTCCTTTGTCCCGCCACCCGCGCGCGAAACCGAGTTTTGGAAGAAAAAGGAGAGAGTCGGCGGGAAATGGACGTTTGAATAAATACCGATTACGCGCGTTTCTCTCTTGACGCGGTAAATATTTATACTCGCTACCGCGAACAATAAAAACAAGAAAACAAAAAAAAACACTCGAAGAGCATAAAAACCGCGCGTAGTTCGGCTCGTGGTCGACGCGCCGTTTCAAGGATCGCGGTGATGAGAGAAGAAAGTGGATCGACGCAACAATGCGACGAGACCGCGAGCGCATTACACGCGTAGGTGTAATCCCGTCGATGCGTACCGAGAAGCGCGTTTGAAAGGGACCGAATTTGCCACGCGCTTGAGTCAACAAGCTCGTCATGTCGAAGGGGAAGGGGGCAAAGATATACAACGCGAGATCTCGAGTCGGTTGCGCGGACCGTGTTTATAGAAAAATCAGCTCGCGAGCTCCACGTTATTTTCGGGAATGTCGGATACAGACGGGAATGATCCTTAGTACCTCGTCTCCCTCCTGACAGTGCCCGGGGCTCGCCTCGCGATGTGAAAGGATACTCGGGGGACGCGGTCCTCGCGATCAATAGGGGATCGATTCGAGAAAAATATCCCTTTTTACAAGTCGAGTTTGCGTGGATCACCGTGAGAGCTTTATTGATCCGACGTTCTATTGATCGTTCGGGGTCTTTTTTTTTTTTTTTTCTATCGAAGCACTTCACGGTAGGATTTGTCCTATCGTGCCGAGAGGATGAAAAACGTCTCTTCGATCAAAGCTTTATTTGTATTTCAAGGTAATATACATCATCGCGGTGTTTAACAAATTGCTTTTTGTACATGTAGGTGTTTTATATTCTATATATAGAACTTTTACATTTTGTTTTTTTTTTTTTTTTTTTTTACAAAAAACAATGTATTATTGTAAAAAAAATTTTCACATTTTAGTTTCTCCGCTGTTGTAATTATCGACGCAAAATTGTCTTTTGTTACGTATAATTACTGTTTTATATATTTTACATATATAAAACCTTGATATTTCGAATAAAATCTTAATAAAAAAATAGATTTTTATTATCATAAAGATAAATGTAACTATTTCAGTTTCTCTCGAACGTCATGATCGTCGAAACAATTCGTTTCGCGTGTGTACATATTATTTTATATTTTACATCAAACTTTGAAAGTTGTGTAGCGTGATTTTTATTATTAAAAAAATATATTAATATTAATATTTCAAATAAATATTAATATCTCACAGCTTCTCTGACGTCGTAATGATTGAACACGCGCATTTTTCACACCGAATCTCAAACTTCCGTGCGCACAACTTTAATAAGCAAATATGTCTCTGAAATTACGTGGGCGACGTGGAGAAACTCCTTATTACCGAATTTGCGAAGGGTTACACACATCAATCGCAATGTAGCAGTTATAGATATGTGGGTCTTGTCGCGCGACAGGCGCAAACCACTTAGGCGTAGTCGAAGTTAGGCCATCGCCTCGGATTATTAGGTAATTAGGCTAAGATGGTGCCGGTGACCATATCTCCCCCTTCGATGATGGAGGAGCGCGCGCGGTATATGTGCCGGCGTACTACCTACTCGATGGATAAACACATGGGCAGATTACCACGGCGCTCTCGGCTCTCTCTCCCCCTTCTCCTACCCTCTCTCTTCTCCGGATAGATACATGCAATTTAACTAGTAATTTCGAACTTACACCGGGCTTAACTTTGGGAGTAATGATGTGGTAGTTAAATTGCATCACGCGAGCGAGTTGCGCGGCGTTATAACGTCACACCGTCCTCTAAAACAAAGTGGATTAGAGCGGATTTCTTGGGGAACGCGCCTGAACAGAGAGGGATGGTTGAATATTTCGCGCCTTTGGAAATTTTCCATTTTCTCTTTTCGATCGAGAAACGCGAGTTGTAGAAATTGCTTTTTTTTTTTAACAAAAAATAAAAAGACAGTTGATCATCGTGCGACAACAACAAAAAAATGGCGAGGAGAAACTCCGCCTCTCTGTAAAGAACGGAGGTGGTAATCCGCGTTTATTTTCATCCGTGTGCATACGCGAATCGCAATCGCGGAATGTATCGAACGCGTTGCGCGGCGCGCAACGGTGTGTGTAACCCCGTGTCCGTGTGTAAGCGCGAATGACGAGACGACTCTCTCGTACCACGCGACCACGCTCGACTTGACCCCACTCGACCTCACACTCGATCCGTACTCGAGTCGAATCGGCGGGTCTCGTTAATTGTGCAACGCCGGGGCCCGCTCTCGCGTTGTTTGCTCGATCTCTTCGCTCCTTTCGCTTCCACGGGCGATTCACGAATCGCCGATGAACACCGACGGGCAGGGATCGTCGGGGGATCAGGTTGTTCTCCCGGACTCGCGCGCTAATATAACACCGGCGCTTCTTCTTCCTCCTTCCCGATCGGAGTCACGATTTAAACATAGGCGTGGTGAGCGCGCGCGCGCACGGCGCTTTCCAACCCGAGAAGATGGACGGGTTTGACCTCTTCCTTGGTGTAACTTTTAACGTCGGACTTCGATCGCTCCGCTAAACGCCACGATCGAGACTCGGGCGATTCGTCGCCACCCGCCCGTGAAATCGGTTTCTCGCGAGAGAGAGAGAGAGAGAGAGAGAGAGAGAAAATATTTGTTAAAGAAAAATTGTGAAATTTTTGGACACTCGCGCGAGGGAGAAAGTCGAGATTGATTCAAAAGAGAGAATAATAGCAAATATTATATACGAAATTTGTATTGAATCGGTTTGAGCGGTCGGTCGCGTACACAAACGGGAATCGGCAGGCGACACGGCGCCCAAGGGCACCGCCACACATTCGGAAACTACTACATTAAATTGTCATGACATTCGCGGTTCCGAGTGAAGAGAATTATGTGGAAATATATCTCTGGAGACGCGGAGAGAAGAGGGTGTGTGTATGTACAGCGCGAATATATGGCACTATTGTTTATTAGAAGAAATCAATATTTAATGTCGTTAAGAGATAGCGCTGGTCGAAAATTTCCTTCTCAATGTAGAAATCGGATGAAACTATAGACGCGATGTGAAACTATACGAGACTGTGGGAAGGGGTGGTGACACACTAATAAAAGAGGAAAATCTTTTCGCGGTATTCCTCAATCAATTCGAACGGAATAATCAAGCGCGAGAGGCGTGTTTTCGCGCGGTTTGTACAAAACCCGCGAAAAATTTCCTGGCTCGCTGTGGGGAAAATATCGACCGATTCCGTACACGAAAATAC